AAACAAACCAAAAAAAAAAAAAAAAAAAAAAAAAAAGACAAAAAACCAGACCACCAAGAGAAACTCTAAGCTGAAGTTTCAAAGAAAATTTTCTGGGTTTGAGTGGGCAAAGCTCACAACTATTTTGCTTCACTTCTAATTTAGTAAGGGTCAGCTTACCAGTTTCCAAGAAATATGATTTATCTTCTTGCATAATTACTAAACCTGTAAGGTATAGCTTGAAATACAGAATCCAATTCCGCATCACTGACTAGTAGTAAAATTTGCCCTTAATTTGCATTATGTGACTCATATCAGGATTGGGCCCTTGGAGTACCAATCATCTTTTGGCAAAACAATGCAACAGCAAGTAAAATAAGCCAAAAAGCCCAATTCTCTGAGCTAATAGTGTGCTTCACAGTTAATTAAGGTCATTTTAAACAAATGAGGCACAAAAATGAAAGAATATAGACAACTGACCAGTAAGAGGGACTAAGTCACTTTACTTTCAACTGTTTTTCAGAAAATTACCTAATTTAGGAATCCAGACATGCTTGCAGATGCAAAGGAACTTTGAGATACTGCCTATGAGATACTTAATAACCATACTTCTAGTAATTTAATGCTATCGGTAACATTTACCTCATTTTTGAGGAAACCATCCCTAAGTGCCTTTAAAAACACCAAAATTTTTAAAGCTAAATTCCAAGACTTTCAGAAAAATTGGCAATACTATCCAAAATAATACCCTCCCATATAAACTATTGCTGTTAAATAGGCAATGTCATGAAAGGTGTCTCAGGACTAGATAACTTGCACACAACCATTCAAAACCCGTGGAATTAAAAAAGTGTATCTTCTACCACATTCTAAGCCATGGAAACATGGAAGATCTAACTGAGGGAACAGTCCCCACAACGCATGCATCTACCATGTCTTCTAATTCTAAATTCCTCCCCAATTTTTGTTGTGTCTGGTGAAAAAGCAATTGAAAAAACGAACTAGATAATATATTCAGCTGCACTGGATTTAACACACTAAATAAGCACTCAGTTTGCAAACAATATTAGCATGGTAAAGTTTTACAAGGTAAAACCTTCAATAGAAAAGAATTTGAAATTGGCAACTATTATAAATCAAGCCGTAAGAACCTTATGAAACTAAGCAACTGAAACAAACTTAGTTAATATTTCAAGTGCAGATTTCCACAAATCTCTACTTGTAACACAGATTACACTCTACTAAATTACCTTCAATTTACAGTAATAACTGCAAAAAATCTCCACATCATTCCAAACAAACTTAAAGCAAAAGCTTAGTCATCCAACACTGTGACTTGGACAGATACATCTATTTATTTGTAAAATTACAAAATCTGTCTGCAAGGGAACGTCCCAATCAAATTAGTCCTTTCTGAATAGAAAATAATACAAACTATATATAAAGAAGTGGAGAGGTCTGATGTATATGTAAATATTTCAGTATGCCAGAATTGAAGTGATAAGGTTGACCAGAATCACACTTTTTTTTTGGTAATAAATGCAATTTGGAACAAATTTAGCACAATCTAGCTTAAAGTTGTTTGTTTGTTTTTAATTTGGAAAAGTATTAATCAGCTTTGAAAAGTATAACTGCAATGCCCTTCCCAAGTGATTTCCACTCACTATTATATCATTTGACATAATTTTTACTTTGATGATTGCTTATTTTGGAAATGTCTATGATTTCAGAAAAAAACCCAATCTTAAAGACATCTCATACTGTTAGGAAGCACAAGGTAAAAACCCCACCAGATTAAAGGTGGGCAGACTTTTGCTCTGAGATGCCTCTACACTGCATACAGAGGGAGCCAATGTTTCTGCACAAGATGCCTCTATTAATTGGGATAAGTTGCAAGGCATCTCATTTTAAAACCCTCCATGAGGTTTTAGCTCTTCTACAAGAGCAGACAGACAGATTACTAACCTATGTCAACTTCTGCTCCACTTCATCATTTTTCAAAGCCATTTTTCTAAACTACAGCATTCCAGAAAAAGCTCAATTTTCTGCAACCTTTTGAATTTCTTAAAAGCCCAGCCTTCTGTCCAGCCCTGGATTGCAGTAAGTAGGAAAGAATATACTTTCCTTAATAACTTTGTATTTGAAAAGTGGTTTAAAATCGGCATTTGGACTAGACTAGAAATATGAACCATAAGTTCATGGAGGTCTCTCTGTGTAAAAATATATAAAACACCAGTTTTACTTTAAAGATGACAGGCTGTTGATTATTTCCATTTGTTGCATCTCTCACAGGAAAGTAAACTGGAGCTTAGAAATACCAGCAACTCTGAAATACCATGTGGTATGAAATACTACTATTTAAAAGCTGATAGAAAGTGTTAATTGACTCTCAGAGTGCTTAATTTTCAACAGGCTCCACTGCAAGTTTGTCACTGATGTCAGGAACTTACTTGAAGAGATAAACTGGGAAACAGATCCCTTTCACACAATCCTCTCTTTTGTTCAAAAGTCGACAACACCACATAGAATTTCATCACTCAGTTTCCCCTCAGAAATTGTATAAACTTCACAGCACTTATTCTACCTTCAAATTAAATAAGTATGTAATAATTTTTTTTTTAAGTGACCATACAATTTAAACCTTTCATTCTGTCCTCAACAGTAACAGCTGCCTTTGGACAAACTTGCCAAAGTAGAAAACCTGCTTTTTACAGTTTAAGGTTCTCCTTCTTTCTTCTACTACTGACCTCTGAAAGGTAAGCTGTTCTTTTCCTTTGTTTTTTTTTTGACTCCTTATGCATTTTTTTCCTGTTGAAACATCTTGGGATGAGGCCTTAAGAGCACAAAGTTTAGTTTCTTACTCTGTTCCAAGACTAATCAAAACTCTGATTTAAAATTACAGTACACAGAGTACTTTAAAGTAACATAATTCTGAAGTTCAGGAACTATATAGAAAGTTCTACATGTAATAGCTAGCAGCAATAAACCCTGCTGTCTTCTAGGCTCATTAAAGTCCCACTAAACAGATCAGACAGACTTCTTCCACAGTTACTATCTAATAACAAAATGTGATGAGCCTCCAAGCTCATCACAGCTCCATTGTGGACTCTTGCATTAGCTCAGTAAAATGGAATGAATTAATGATGATTACTAGTGAAAATGTGAATTTGTAGAGTTAAAAAATTTCTATGGGTATCACATATCTTGGAAAAACAAATGCTGCGATTATCTAACCATGTGTCTTCCATAAGAAACGTGCACTCCCACTGTCATCTGCAGTTCCAGCAAAGTCACAAATGCGTTCCTCATCTCTACTACACAAGTGGAGGGGTCCAAGGAGAAGCCATTGGAAGTTCTCCAGACTTCACTGCAATATTCACAACAGTATCACGTCTCTCAACCACCTATCCCACTGTGGGAGAAAGACATAGCAGAGCTCCTTCTTTCTGGGGATATACTTATTTCTTCTCTTCTCCTCTAGTATTAGTTGTGTTGATGCGATTAACCAGTTCTGTTAAACTGGAGAAACCAAACAGGAAAAAAATGGACAGTGAAAGAATATTACATCCTTGTGATAGGATGAAGGATTTTAAGGCATCTGACTTGAACACTGTGGATATGTATATCTGATCTCTAAAATTCTACAAATTTGAACTTCTTAAATATCTACTAAGGGACCTATGCTTAACCCCTACATGCTTTCGGTTTTTAACTCCATAAAGGGAAAAATAAATTGAAGTCTTACAAAAGAGAAAACCTGCCACAAAGCCTTTGGAAATGTCACAAAGAATCCCCTCAAGCCTAGTGGAAGGTGAGAAGTAGCCATATTTACAAGACATTAATTTGCCTTGCTCTCACTGGCATATTACACAATACACAGATGCAAATACTTGTATTTACCTGAACTAATTCAGTAGCTGAGATTTAATGCATTGCACAGAAAAAGGCTCCTTAACCTCTTCATGCAAAACATCTGACTGTTTGATCTATTAGCACCCCCTTTTGGTCAACTGTTTGAGATATATTAAAGAAAACCAGGTACCCCAGCACAGGTAATCAGATCACAACACAGAGATGAAATAATGTCTTGAAGAAAATCTTGTGTGCCTCAAGAAAAATGAAGACACTCATTAAGAAGCATTTAAATGGTGTCCTAAGTGTTCTAATACTGGAAGACCACAGCATCAGTAGGTGTGCCTATACATATATGGAGAAGCTGTGATGAACCATTCAATACGTTGAACAAATAATCTTAGACAACCAACTTTTTTTAATATTATGGCATTTATGAGAAATAACATAAGCTTCCCAGTGTACAGCCACCACAAAGACATTAAATTCTTAACAAAAGAACATGGAAACATTGCCAACTTAGACCTTCCACAGAATCCAACCTAGTCACACGTTGCAATTAAGCAGACCAAAACCAAATTACTGTAATGTACCCCCATACAAAATACAGATGTTAATAACTGCCTGTTATATGATGGCAAATATAGTACAGATCTCAGCATTCAGCTCCAATATAGATAATTTTTGTAAAGCAGATTTGTTACAGATTAAACTGAAATGGATTGGGATAATACTTCCATGTTATTTGATCCAGTATTGTAATTAGAAGTGACAATGACTAAACAGTCAATGGTATTTGATTTTTACCAGGATACATTCACTATTCTTATAATATTCCAAAATAAAATATGTACTACAATGCCAAACAGTGCCTGTGGAGATAATTTAGTTCTATTCTGTAGTATGAAATGGATGAGTAACTTTTGAGTTTGAAGGCAAACCAAGTTCTCCATTTATAGTTAAATTCTCAAACAACATTGGCACATTACAATTTTTCCTTTGCCTACAAAATGATGTTGAATTATAAACACAGTAAATCATGTTTCTGAATGGGTTAAAGTAATACCAATTTATTTAATCTGAACTACTGCAATTTCTGTATTATGTAGCAAAATAAGATAAAAATGTAAATAGAAATACATCAACACTGCTTCTACTTGCTAAAAGAGTAGATATACAAACTATTATTTTCTCAGGTTTGTGTTTAGCAGACAGGGCCGGAGCTTGTGATTTTCTGTTAGGCAAATCTGCATTACGAAAAGAAGCAATGATTGTATCAATGTACTTAATACACATGAAAACAACTTTAGGCAATTGACTTGTGACTTGTAACTTAACAGTTAGCTTTTAAGATGCACACTAAGTTCACCCACCTTTAGAAATATTAAATTTTCAAGTAGCAAATACTTTATT